CAATGGAAAATAAATTCGAGCAGTTCACACAAATTGCTGGTATACAAAGTTTAAGTTCGTGTTACTAGAACATAATGCCATTAAAACATCAATCTTTCGACATTTAGAATGAAATCACACGGAGGAGGAAAATAATAACTAAAGCTAATTGAACGTTAATACAAACTGATATTTTTACACTATCGGCAGCTCACTCGCAATTAAGTTTCGATCTTCTATATTCTTTAATATAAGATCACAACTTACCTTTCGATTTCACCGGCCCGACTGAACCCGATCTAGAAAATAAAAAGAAAAAGGTCATTAGACCAATCATTCGGACAACCCAAAATTGAGATTATGTAAACAAACCCTCCAATAACATATCGATATGAAGAGCATCACAAAAAATAAATATTGTGGAAACCTCTAAACTAAATGTTTTACTTGATTTCAATTTGTAGAGCAAGAGACACTAAATAATGTTTTTAGTCAAATGATACCGACGATTCTTATTGAGCAGGTCGCTTGCCTCCAGCACACCATTAAATAGAATGAAGAGATCTGGAAAGCATCCAACGAACTTTCCCTCTCAGTAAAACCTACCGCATCTACCTCATTACTTGGAAGTGCTCAATATCCCAAATGGATAAGATAGCAACGAAAAACATGGTAGATAGGAGATTTTTTTTATTTATTTCTGCCTGCTCGGCATTTCTACCTTTCAGGGATGTTTATTATACAAAATTGTACACATTAACTTTTAGGGCTGGACATCCGCATGCGTTACCTCCTCACTCAGGGACTGATGAAACATTTTATTAGCCAGCGAAAGAAACTGTGGATGACAGTTTTTGGAGTTATTTATGATAATTTTGTTAGGGGGGGTTAGTGGGTGGTAGCTAGGAGATGCACGGGAGAGAGTTCACCGCTTGAATAACAAATTTGTCACAGGGAAAAACTATAAGCGGAAAACGCGATAACGACTTGAAAAGTTTCAATCTGCACACGTGCAACATTCTCTAGATCTCACCAACACAATTTTGGAACTAAAATCCTTTTCTGATCTACAAATCGTATGGTATTCCCACTAATCACACTTTCAATATACTAATATTGCAGCTTCCTAATTGAAGTGCATAACAAGTGAAATTACATTACATTACAAGAAACAAAGTTGCTACAGAATGGCACTGACTTTCTCATACTAGTTAGCTTACATATCGCATTAGACTGGACTGTATATTCGGATTTGCTTCTCCTTGTCAGCTGTCATCTACTGGTGCCATACGTTTCTTCAATTTTTCGGATACCCAATAACGGAATTGAAACATGACTTTAAGAATATTATACAAGGGTAAAATCTGGTACTATACGCACTTTCATTGGAAAAATTGGAGTCGTTTTTAAGAAAATGCCGGTTAAATGTTCCTGAAAATACCCATTTACCAGCTTATTTTCTCCCAAAACTTTAGTTGTCAAGAAACTAAATAAGAGATCGTTTCAAACAATTGTACTCACAAATATAATAATGTATGCATAAGAAATGCCTGTAATGAAAATATTATCGATGCGAGAGACTTAAAAAAACACTCACACATTTGCGTAAAAGAAAATAATAAATCAAAGCAGCATTGACGTCGTTATTCAGTGCATTTACCTATATCCGTAAAAAAAGAATAAATTAGCAGCCATTTTTGAGAAAATGCGCATTTCAGAAAATGCAGAATTTTGAGCTCATTTTCTCAGAAAAGTTTTAAGTTTACGAGACACTTTATAAGACATCATTTGAAGCTTTTGTACTAACGAAAGCAATAATGAATATAATTAGCCGGTAATGTAAAATGAAAACTACATTTGTGGAATTTCTAAAAATAACAACTAAATAATACAGCCCAATGATTTTTATTTATCTTCGATATTGTTGGTACAGAAACACGCCGAAAAAATTCAAACTTTTGTAATTTTCGAAATGTGTGGAAATTAAACATCTGTCACCTTTATAAGTGTATTTTACTATATCCGTAAAAATTCAAAAAAAATTAGAGCCATTTTTGATAAAATTTTGAAAATATCCTATAGACTTAATGTTAAGTACCCCCAAAATTTAAAGAATGTTTTTCGAAATCGCAGAACTTCAGGATCGGGTCAACCGGGGAGTATTCATTTTGGAAAAATATCATATCGCTAGTGCTGTAGACGGAATAGTGTAGTGTACAGACGGAGGGACGATTTGGAAAGAAACAAAGAAAAAGGGGGGAAAATCAAAAAACAAACAGAAGAAACTTTCTCAATGGGCCCAAAACGTGTATTTCCATTGAAATCTCGTAATCGATTATACACATAGTATTACGTAAATTTCTTACGTATATTACTCCGTGTATACGTACTTAATGCCAAATTTGACGTGGTAAGACTCGCACCATCAGTCATGCTCTTCCGTCTAACCACGTATATTTCTCTCCGCTTTTTTCACCATCTCGCAGAGAAAGAAAGTATTACTCGGGCAAAGAAACAGATTTTTAATTTTGCTCAGATGCTTCTTTTAGGCTTGAGGGCCTTTTACATACCTTCAAACTACAACATGGCGCAGCCGGCTTTACTTCCCCTCCAAAGGAAGGCCTACGAAAAAATTGTTTGGCCCATGAAAAATCTACGGCTAAAGTTACATTCACGCTAATATAGAAAATTGATCTGGAATTAAACTATTGACCTGAAAGAAGATTCCCCAATCAGAAGAAATTCAGATTCTGTAAGTGTTAGTCCCGTAATCAACGAGAATGCAATCTATTGATCTTACTCGCGATATTTAATTTTCGGGTCAAAACATTTGTGAGTACCCGAAGGACAAACGCTAAATGAAGAAAGAATACGCTAGAATAAATAATTGAAATTTGACGAGCTTATAGAAGGATAAAATAAAAAAAGATAAGTTATTGCTAATGTTTATAATGTGAGAAATGGCATATGATGAAATTATATTCATACTACGAGTGACATTTGCCCGTGATTGTTATGCAACCCGTATCCATAGAAGTTCGGCAGGTACATGCAATCTTCTTGATGGTGATAAACGTGATCTTCCCAACATGTTACGGAGTCCAACTTCGTAATCGGGAGGTCCGAGTTCGATCTCCAGGCCGGCCATCCTTTTAGAGGTTTTGGTACTACCCTCGGTCACAAAGCGAATGCTCGGATGGTTTCAAAAGCCCACAAACACTTCCCACTACCACACCTAACACCTCCTACCATCATCCTAGTCCTTTCACCCCTAATCACCCTATTATAATAATAATAATAATAATAATAATAATAATAATAATAATACCGTCTCATCCCCCCTAATTGATATTCAAGGTTAACAACCTTGGCTTAACCAAGGGATGCAGCCGAAAGGCTGATCCCCATAATTCCACACATTGATATCTCCACGATAGAATACAACTGAGCGTAGGAGAGAGAAATGTGTTACATGGTCAGTAAGTGGCCAATGCGCGAATAATAATATAATACTAATACTAATACTAATACTAATACTAATAATAATAATAATAATAATAATAATAATAATAATAATAATAATAAATTTCCCACAGAATGTTTTCAGGCACAAAGTGATAATTTTCGACCGTTCCACTTGCTGTAGAAGATAGTAACATTTATTCTGAAACCACCTGTTCTAATCAAACACGACGTAACTGCTTTCCATTTGATTGACGCTGACGAAGTTTGCATATTCACGTAAACGTTATGTACAATGAGATAACAGGTATTCCACACAAAATGCATTGACAGAAACGATATTATCTCATTTCATCACATCACATCAATAACACAAGAGCATTTAAATTGATTTTTATGGAATCACAAGATAGATTCACACGGCACAACCATATCAATTGTGACAGAATGAGTCCAAGATATTCTTGAAACATTTCTTCTAATCTATAATGGATAATCATCCCTAACATGATTCATAATAGGCAATCATTGCAAGTACTCCGAACAGTCATCCTTGAAAAGGAAGGAGATATGAAAAAATGTATTATATTCTAAATAAACTAAAAGAACTGCAATCACAAGATACTCCCAAAATTTAGCGAAATAAGCATCTCCAAATATCAGTTGTTCGCTTATTAAATGACCCAAAAGTATAACGCCTTACTTAAAAGTCTTATGTAAAATTCACGCTGTAATGTCTAACACTATTCTGGAAAATTATTTAACTATTTTGGAAGAGACTTCCCAAGAAATGGACAAAAGCAGGGAGTTTCAACATTTAGGGCAGAGTGGAACACATGAAAAATAACAGTGACGTATGCCGCCATTAAGCTACACTGTGTTAGGAACTATACGAGGATTTCCCGATTGAGAGGAAGGCTATGCGTTGCACGCTTTCCGCAAGAAATCCTGTTAAGGATTTCTGCGGCGTGGTGTGATGTGCAATATGCTACTCAGAACTATACAAGTGAACAAGAAAAGAATTTCGAAGGACTCCTGCACGCTAGGAGGAGAAAGTTCGGCGAGTTGCTACTTCTAACTCTGAAGGCATTTTTTACGTCATTTTTCTTATTTTACATAAATATTTTTTGTATTGAACATACAATTTACCGAGCGACTTGGGCCAGGGCGTACAGCGCTGATTTTGCATTCCGGAGGCCGGGGTTCAATTCTCGTGCCGGCCATCATGATCGGGGTTTTTGTGGTTTCCCTCGGTCATCCAGGCGAATGCTGGGATAGTTCTACTGAAAGGCCTGAGCGTGTAATTGGCGTCGCCAGCCGAATTCGTTAACTAGGTGAAGTCACAAAAGTTAAGAGAATTCGAAACATCAAAGTCCTAGTCTGGTGACAGACTAGAAACCATGAGATACAGCGGCGCCGAGGCCAATTGCCCTTACGGGATATATAGCGCACCCTGAAGGTCTCCGCAGTTTCATCTTGCTGGTGAGAGTGCTTGCAACAGAAATTATGTTGGTAGCTCGAGCTGCATCTTGAAAATACAAATTGCGTGCCAAATCATAAGAGATGTTGGAAATGTTGCTCCCTTTACTTGTTTCCCAGTGGTTTGGCTGCTACCAACGTACATTTTTAATTGGTGGCGGTGATTCGCCTCAGCGGAGAGAGTTTCCTTCCGCACTGTATAATGTCTAAATACAAATACATAATGCTTTCTTATTGTTCATGTTTCTTCTTTAAAATTTTTCTTTTCTATCAATATTCTCAATCTTTTCTCCATCACTGTCAACTACATTTTCATTCCCACGTTCACTTTGTATCATTACAAGTGGAAAGCAATGCA